CCCCCCCCCCCCGTGCTAACCAGGGCCTGTTACTCAAAGCATGTTATTCTTGCATTAGTGTGTGTCTTGACTCCACAGGGTGTGCAATTTAAAGGAACAGGATATTTAAAGGGCCTTCAGTCTCACTACCTCACTACCTATGGGGAGGCAATTCAGTGGCCTTAGGCACCTGCCAATCTCCCTGCCCCATCTTAATTTATATTTTAAAAGATGAAATGAGAAACTGCTATGCTGCAAATGCCAGGCTGTGGTATTAACTTATTTACTGGGGCCCATGCAGACTAGATAGGCAAACTTAAACATTAAAGATGGTAGGGGCTGCAGCCCAGCACTTGGGAAGTGTGCTTATTTGTCAAGCAGAAGGACACATAAGTTGAGGTAGGCAGAGAGCATTCTGGGAAGCTAGAAGGGATGATAGAGCAATCTCTATAGCAGGGTTCTCAACCTTGGCAACTTTAAGCTCTGTGGACTTCAACTCCCAGAAAGTTGCCAAGGTTGAAAAACAAGACATAGATGGATAGAAATGTTTTAAATATTAAAAACCTCACAAGATTGCCTCTCAGAAAACAGGTAATTGGCCATGCCTATTGTGACAGAGTTTTGGGGAAGAGCATCTAGGATTGGTTCCCAATGTTTCAGATGTGGCCATTGGCCCCAAAAGGTTGCTAATTCCTCCCCAGATCCATGTCTGAAAAGGGATTGGGTGGCTTGTGCAAAAGGGCCTTTTCTGTGTCTTACTGAGACCTTTGAAATCTGAGATGCTACCACTCTACTAATTTATCAGAAAACCATTAGTCTATAGGGCTCAACAAAAAAGGCCCCACCTGGGTATCCCAAAAACTTAGTTCTTCGTTACTGTTTGGAGGTCTTTGAGTTGAAAAGTAGCACGAAGATTGTAATAGAAATTAGCATTCTTCCAATACAACTTACAAAATACACTACTATCATTATGCACATAGATATATTAAGAGAGAAAAAAGAAAGCGCCTTTCCTAAGATCATCGATGGCTGGAGATTTGAATCAATAATAGCTTGGATCATAATTTAGACTTTCCTTGCTAGTATATTATACCGGTAGTAAATACTGCAATTTTATTTTGAGTCTCTTGAAAATCTAGTTAACCTTATAGTGCAAGTTAACTTTATATGGGTATATTAGCTATGCATTTTAAAATGTACCCACCTGTCAACACAACTTTAGAAAGTTTAGCTAACATATTTTGGTTAATATGTTCTCAGTAATTATTTATTGTTAGTATCACTATAGAGACACCCCCATATGAGGGTTTACATGCTCCTCTGAGAATTATTCCCATTAATGCTGAGAAGAGCATCTAATGAAGTGGAGTGTGATTCATCAAAAAGTATATGACAATAAATTATTTATTTTTAAAAGATTCCCTGTTTTCTTTGCTTTAAGAAATAGCATCAAATCTATCCCTCTGGATCCCATTATTTAGTCATAATTGCCCTTGTGAATGTTCTTTCCTGAAAGCTGAGCTTTGGCCAAATGGGTTACCAGCTTCCATCCCATCTGGTCCTTCAAGATCCACAGGAGGCTGTCTTTTGGTCTCCTGCCTGGTTTTACTACCAATGAGATTTTTCTCTATAGACAGTCATGATCCTGCATCAGGATGAGCCATGAGTTTGTATATAGTGAATCAATGGAATGGGAATCTGGGGGTGGCTGGTTTGGGGTCTATGATGATTTCCCTCCCCTCTCCCCCCCACACATGCACATGTGTGCTACAATGAAAATCCAAGAGCAAAACTAACCCAAGGAATAATCCCAAATTGTGAAAAAGGGAAATTCAATCCTCATAAACATCTATACCTAATCTCAGGTAACCTTGACTATTAACAAACATTTGTTTTATCTTTTATCTTGCCCACAGGCAAAAAGGACCTATTGGAGGACTGCTGAACTGCTAAACAGCAGCTGCCAAGAAGAACGTGCATATTCTGATGATGCTCAGAACTTCACCGTATTCTCTAACCAAGTATCTCTCTCTCTACTAACTATATATATATATATATCTACTACTACTACTAATATATATAATATATTATTATTATTATTTATTATATATATATAATAAATATATATATAATACTAGCTATATGATCATCTAAAGGTAGGCCTACAGAGCTAGGTTTTGTAATACCTGGGCTCAGGGGTGTTATCTAGCCAGTTGCTAGGTCCACTTCCTAGGAATCAGTTGCTAAATTTTTACACATATTAGGGCTAAATGACAATGTTACATTTTTCCTGCTCTGACCATCCAGAATATCTGGGCAGAGAGGGAAAGCAGGCCTGGAATGCATTTGATAGGATTGGGTGTTCATGCATAGGCAAGCCAAGAGCCTAGACTGAGTGTTGTTCCAGATTTTCCAGGTAGCCAGTTTGTCTTGGAAGCGTGGAAAAGTTCTGAGGTTTTGGCTTAGCATTAATTATTTTGAAAATATTGGGACTTAAGTACCTAAGGAAGAATTTTACTATTGATTCCTTTTTAACAGGACTTAGTGTGTTCTATTAAATTTGTGTGGTTTACACAGGAAATTTTTTCCCTTATTTTAATATATTGATTATGTGCCATTGAGTCAGTGTTGACTCTTCGCGACAACACAGATTTTCTCCATGATGATCTGTTTGTCGCTATTTTTATTTTGTTTTGCTTGTATATTTTTGTATGTACACATTCCTATTTAGTTCATCAGGATTCTGGGCACAAAACTGGATTACATCAACTCAGTCCTAAGCAGAAGTGTGGCCAGTGATCTTAGGGTTGCAGTTAGCGCCTCTTGGTATATCTATGTGCCATAACAGCAATATTAAACAGAGAGAGGAAAAGTTAAACACTGGGGAACAGAAACCTTATATGGAAGTTTCTGTATGTTAGTTTTAAATTCCCAAACCTCTGCATTTTTCAAGCATTTTAATTTAATTGAAGTCAATTTGATTTTAATTTAGTTAAATTGTATTAATTACAATTTGTGATACTAAGGTGATGAGAAAGATGAATGCTTTTGGAAATTTTTAACCCAGAGTTCTCACTCAAGACACAAATGACCAGGCTTAAATTATCCTACTTATAGGACACATTATACGAAGACTCAGCTCTCTGGAAAAGGCTCTAATGCTGGGAAAGGTGGAAAGAAAAAGAAGAAGAAGATGACCAGCAGCAAGGTGGATGGACTCAGTTACAGTGGCGATGAGTGCACTGTTGGGAGACTTGAAAGAATAGGTTAGGGATAGATCATCGTGGAGAAAATCTACCTATGTGGTCGCTAAGGGTTGAAAACAACTTGATGGCACATAATTAATCAATTGGAAATTTTAGGGATCATGGCACTGCAAAGTTTGAGAAGGCTTGTCTCATTGACATGGTTATGACTTGTCATATTTTTATTTTTTATTGAAATAGTACAACTTTTTAAAGACGTATTGGTATGTCCTGATGATTAACTATTGTGATATTTCTCATTCTGAAGGGCTAACATGATGAATTATTGTCAGAATGGGTTGTTGCCTAATTTAGATAACAGCCTTGCTTGACTGTTAATAGAGACATAAAAAGGAGCAGCAGTTAAGAAATATATTGTCATTGCAGTACAATATCTTCCAAAGCAAAAGGGGTCATTAGGAAGACAAAGGAGCAGAAGACAAGCAACATTGTGGAGCCATCTCTGTGCTTCCCCATGGCTGTCATCTGAAGAAATCAATTTAATCCCTTGTCATGTCATGAAATCAATCCCTCCCAAGAAGTCATCCTTCTGGAAGATGGTTCTTCAGAGCATCATTTTCATCTGATATCGACACAAATTATAATGTGCATTTTGCAGAACATTTGTGATGTTTAAGCAATCATAAAGCATTGTCAGAGAAAGCTATTTCTCAAGCAGCAGTCTTGAGAGAGCAGTCCACATTTGCCAATTGTTTTAAAACAATTCCAGGTTACTCTGATATCACCATCCTACAGTTCTGCACTTGTCTACCTAAAACTAGAAACTCCAGGAGACCAGAGAATCATTTTCCCACCGCTCTTACATATACATCCTGGCTTCCTCTGACACTGCAAAGCATAAATGCCATCCCCTTCCTTCACTCGATGGACTCCAGCCTTCTGCAAATTCTGCAAAAAGTACAGTCCTTCTACATTCCTTCTTCACTAAGACCAGCAGTGGTAGAAGGAAGGCAGGAAATGCACATAGAAGCTGTGTGATGTAGCTGATAGAGTGCTACCCCTGGACAGAGGCCATGTGAGTTCAATTCACCTTGTGTCCACAAAACCTGTTGGGTGACCTTGGACAAATCACACTCAACCTAATTTAACTCATAGTTAAAGGGTTAAAGCTGGGTGTCAGGGCCCAAATGACTGCTCAGAGCTCCTCTAGCCTTCTTTCTGCCACTCAAAATGTTGCTCCAGATCTGCTTTCCCACATGATACTGGCACGCTTCGAAAACTGAGTTGGATTATTTTCTTGTTTTGGAAAGCCATATCTCCTGGCATACCTCCCAGCTCTTGGGCACAAGGAAGGTGTTGCTCAGTGCCTGCTGCAACCTAAATAGGGAAAGGACAGGAAAGCCAATAAAATGACATAGGGAGGAAGGGACTTAGCTAGTACCTGCTGCAGCTCTCTTTGCCTTTCCACCCTGCTCCATACCAGTGATATTCAAACCTGAAGTGCTTTCTCTCCATCTGATAATGTGGGGGTGGGGGGCAGCAGCTTGTTCTTTGTCCACTCAAAGTGGAGCTCCACAACTGGCTGCTTGGTGATGGCAGGCACTCTGTGGCTGCAGGCCATGCTAAACCCCTTCCCACTGCTCTTGCCACCCTAACCCCCATTTCCAAGCTCTTGGTTGCAAATGCCAGCATTCACATTCATAGCTCCCAATGGGCATTAAACACCAAGGAAGGACAGCCTGTACCATGGTAGCATCCCCCCAGAGCACACTTCCAGCCAAGTTCACACATGTACAGAAAATGTGAATTGGGGAAAGGACCTTAGACATGTTTGTTACTTTTGTTTGTTCAGGACTTCTAGTGAGAGGATTATGATTTTGAGAAGGAGCCGTGGAAGCTCCACAGGCAGGACTGAGTAATTTAATTGCTATCCTATTGGTCAACATGGGTTGATCTCACAAAAGCTGAGTGGGGTTGAACCTCATTATTACTTGGATGGGACAACCCCAGGAAATCTGAGGAATATGGACTAGACTGGGCAGCTGAAAAAACATCCTGGAAGAAGGTAATGGCAAGCCACTTCCATATTGCTATCAAGAAAGCAACATGGACATTTTCATGTAGCAATCAGGAGTCAAGGTTGATTACCTTTTCTTGCTCAACTGTAGGAGGTGTTGATTGGCTTGTGGTCATCTGAGAATATTCTTTGTGTTTTGAGGCCCCGGTAGTCAAGATGATCACGCAACTGGCTTCCAAATTATTTGCAAGGAGTGGAAGTGGAAATGGATTGGAAAAAAGTGTTTTCTGCCACAAAACTCTGCCTACTTTCAAAGAACTAATTTACAAAGAGTTACATTTTCTCCTTCTCTTTTTTGCAGAAAATATGCAGGGTTTGTCCTTCCTCCTGAGCACATGATATCAGGCAAACTTAAGATAAATATTTGCAGGTAGCCTGTGAATGTTAGACTATGGTTTTTTTTTTTAAAGATTCCAGTTAACTGTTTCATTTCTTGGACGTCTGCAAGTGTAGCATAACAGGGCCTTCTGAGGGAATGAGTGCTGCCCCACATCATGTTTATCATTATGGGCTACCTTAGTGCTCTCATGGGGCAATGGCAGAACAGTGGTAACACCTCAGGGATGTCACAAACAGCTCCCTTGAGAATTAGCCAGAACTAAAGTATCTCTACATAACAGTCCCTGAGATTTCCTGTTGACTACCCACTACATCCCCTCTTTTATCCCATGCTTGGGGGTCAGGGAGATTTTCAAAGTACTCTGGCTGAAATGGCCCCAAAGGGAAGCAGAGCAGCTTTGAAGCACTCCCAAAGGGTTGCTGTGTGGTGGTGCTCAATGAACCTTGCCAGATTGCAAACGGATAGGTAGAAGTTTTCATCCATAGATCAGTTTTATTTATGGAGGCCTTTAGCAGCAAAGAAAACCAAAATAAAAAGGGAAAAAAGAGAGTCAACAAAATTTTCCAACATTGTAGGCTGTATAAACAGCCTTATCAATGAGCATAAAATCAACATGGAAACGTCTGATTATGCAGGGATTGCTGCTAAAAGGGTAAAAATAAGATTTTGAGTCAGTGTCATATTAAAACCTGCAATACAAAAGAACATGTGTTGTTGATTCTATCTCTTTTGAGCCACAAGGGCAGAGATGATGAGCCATGGGGAGTTTGCAATATCTACCCTGTAACTGTAACTGTAGTGGTGAAGGCACCAGGCTAGAAACTGGGAGACCAGGAGTTCTAGTCCTGCCTTATTCATGAAGCCAGCTGGGTGACTTTGGGCCAGTCTCTCTCTCTCTCAGCCCTAGAAAGAAGAAGGAAATGGAAAATCACTTCTGAAAAATCTTATCAAGAAAACTGCAGGGGCTTGTCCAGGCAGTTGCCAGGAGTCAACACTAACTTGAAGGCACCCAAAAAACAAACCTGTGATGAAGAAAGGGTGTTTCTGCAAGCCCTGGTAAAAGCCCAACAATAGAGCTTTTGAGTAGGTCACGGAGAAAATACAGTATTGGAAGCCATGCCTCCTTGATTAATTATTTTTGGTAACCTAGAAAAACCAGGCAGTTGGTTCAAATTATATTGCAGCTCAATTTCAAGTAATCATTGGGCAATCAGATTTTTATCCTGAGATCAACCAAGGTTACATAAAGTGTTCTGAGAAAGGCTACATGGAAGGAGCTTCCACTTATGGGACTTCTTCCAAGTGGATTGGAAAGTATCACTGAAAACAGAGTAGAGTAGCCATTTGGCCGATAGATAAGTTGAAGCCGATAATTAGATACTACTAACCAAACTCTTGTCTCTACTCTGGTCAGCCCTGTTTGTAGCCTAAAAGCTGTAGTACTTGGTTCCCAATATAGAACCAAGGAATTTGGACTGAACAGATTCCAGCAGACTAAAGTTAGAATATGGACCAATAGTTGCTCCAGTTAATAGTTGTGCTAAAGCCTGTGCCTGAGAGAGAGTAATGACTACAGGCAGGTTCCTATTGCCTTGTGTATAATTATGTGTCGGATTGTTCTTTGGGCCAGACTGACAACATAATCCACATAAGCACCTTTTCTGCCTTTGGCTTCTAATATAACCCCCAGATGTTCACATATTTTAACTTGTTCTATCTTATGGCCATTAGTGGTCCAACTAAAGTTTTTAGGTTTTCTTGAAAATACCATTACCTTCAGTTTTTGGTAGTTGCTTCTTATGACATGTTGGGTCAAGGCAATAATAGCTCTCTTAAGGCCAGGGCATGACAGGGATAGATGGACAGCCTCATCTACATAGAGGAGGATTGGGAGATGTCTATTCCCCAGTTTAGGAGCCAAAATATTGATAGATTTTAGCCACTGAATTAGTATAAATGTTAAAGTGGGAGCAAAAAGAGACTTTACAGTTTGAACAGGGTATTTCTGTGAACTAGGACCATGGTATTCATTCTGGAAATGGACATGATATGCAGTGTGCAAAATTTCAGATTATGTATCACTTGCATCTATATAAATGCTGGAGACTTACAGTGATCGAGAAACGATCTGAGGCAATGTTTTTGCTTTCTGTTTAGTTGAAACCAAATGAGAAGTTGTCTCTTCTCCAGCCCTTTCAAAAAAGCATAGTGCCTGAGAGGAAAAGGAGCAATTTGGATAAATCTATTATTTAGGTAAAAGCACAAGCTACAATTAAGGCATAAAAGGCTTCTTCAAATTTATTAGAATATAGCACACTTATTCTGCTGCTCTCCCCTCCCCTGACTTCCCCTTCATAAAGAGTTTGTTGGGGAAAACATGATTACTTGTGACAGACAACCTGATTCGGAGTCTTCCAAACCTCTAAGATGGACCCAAGGATTTGGACATAGCCCACATTTGTTTTTTAGTCATTTCATGCAAGCTTTATTTTGCCTTAAACTAAACCTGAATTACCTCAAAGCAGCCCACTTCATTTAGTCCAAGCCAGCAGATTGACAGTTTCTTGGGAATGCCTACTTGCTGATATCCTCTGTGTGATTGGTGAGAGCAACATTCATTACAGCAATTCCTTAGCTTCAGAATTCCTTTCCACTGAAGGCCACAAATGTAAATTTTGGAGACCTAATGTAAGGCATGTTTATCCAAGCCAGGAATGAGCCCAAAGCTCTCCTACCCATGGGATGTCAACCTACCATCAGTTTATGGAATCAAATAAAGAAATAGAGTAATAGTCCTGTTAATATTTGCTCTGGCTTGTTTGAAAAAGTTCTCCATCCTGGGATAATTGGTTTCCACCATTTACACTTGAGACTGTTGTTTCAGGAGCAAGTTCAGTTTTCATTTTTTGACCAATTTTTACTCAAACCCCTACTTAACCACATTGCTTTGACTTTCTGTGGTGAGACAAATTATATCTACACAGACATATGCACTCACGCATACACATACACATGCAATTACATACATTACAGCTAAGCTGCTACTAGATGTAGAACATAGAAGACATACCAGCAGCCTCTATTTGAAAGCTCAGTCTTCAAGGGGAAATTTCAATCTTCATGGCAGGGAAAAACCCACAGATCCATTTTTATAGTCCCCATTGAAGGTATGTGATATTCAAATAATGGGTTTCAGCAGTTCAATTCACCCCCACCCCACCCCTTTAACAAATTAAATCCTTAAACAGGTCTGTTAAACTTCTGATAGGCCTTAACTTAGTTTGAGAATGCACCCCAAAACCTCCCAAACACTCGGAAACTGTGCTAAACATTTCATAATCTTCATGCAATAGGTTGAACAGCAAAAGCTAATCCCACTCAAAAAGACATTTTTCAAGTTGTTGACACCACATTTAGGCACATTCCAGATGTTAGTGAGATTTTGCAAATGTATAGCTGCCCTAAATAGGAAGTCATATATGTGGCACAGATTAACTTTGATAAAACATTATATCATCACAAATTTTTCTTCCACCATTCAATCCAGAAAAGCCTACAGAAAGCAGCACTGAATTTGTAAGCGTTGATAAAGGTATTGAAATAGTTTTAAGAAGAATTCCTGTGGCTTCTATGCACCAAGAAATGTTCCAATTTTTTTGCGTCTAAAGGTTTTTAATTTTTCCATTGCTTCAGTGTAAATGAAGCCCTCCTTATAGTGCCATAATTAATATGGTTAATTCTTCTACATATTTGTACACTTTTCTGTTTGCACCAGTAGTGTATTTATGTAGAAGGGATAAAAAAGAATACTGTATTTCGAATTGTGGAAGACTTGGGAAAACTGTCCTCAGAATCTGGATTCAGATATTGCCTGAGTCTTTCTACCACATACTCTGTGTCCGTGCAAACGTGTCCAATTCATACAAACTGTTCAGACTCAAGGAAGCGGAGAATCTCAGTATATACTGTAGATGAAGCCATAAAGTACATACTGCAGAGACAGATGATTGCAGGACTGTGAAATCCTTTTACCTCAAATGACTGGAGAACTGATGAAACAGCGCACTTTTTTTTTTTTAAGTGGAAAAGTAGATAATGCAGAGAAAGAAAAGCAGGGTTTTTTTTTAAAGCCAGCAGCGTTCTGCATTTTAGGCAAGCATTATAATCAGTGTACTGTTGCAGGACTACTTTTAAGGTAGATCTA